TGGATGTTGTGCCTGATCTTATTTGTATTCAAGAGTCATGGTTAAGACCACACTTGGAATTTGTCTTGCCAGGGTATAGTTCTGTTAGATGTGATAGAATTGGATCACAAGGGGGAGGATGTGTAACATTCATTAAAGATAATCTAGCATATAGAAGGATAAATGTTCAAAATGAATATGGGTTTATTTTTTTGTTTTTTTGTTATTTTTAAAAAAAATTTTGTGATTATAACTATGCTAAGTACATGAAGCCCTGAAGTTGCACACCCCAGTACAGTAGGTGGCGGTATGCACCTGAACAAGTTGGTTGCGACCCGCCAGTAAAACCAGAGAGAGCGAGAGAGAGAGAGAGAGACCGGTTAGACACTTGTCAACTTTCTTCCACGTCTTCAAGATTTCTTTTATCGTCGACTTCAACCTGAGATTCAGTGAACTGTTAAAGTTGGATGTATTAATTCGGTTCGCACGCATTTGAACTCATCTTACATGTGTTCAAATGTGTCGATAGAAAGAATAACGTGAGGAAGAGCTTGCAACGGGACAGGTGAGTAAACGCTATTTTTTTATTTTTATTTATTTATTTAATTTTTTAAGAGTAAAGGCTATGTTTCTTGTCAGGGAGTGTGTTATTATGTGAAATATACGGTACACAACAGCTGAAATTCTAACTTCTTGTTTTTTTTTTGTTATACTGTTTGAAATCTTCTGTGTAAGGCTCAGGAGTCGTCAGGACTATAAGATGTTTCGTCCAATAATTGCATTAGGTTGCAAAGGTTCTTTGAAAATGTTTTATTTTTGTAGTTCTGCTGGCTAGATGACGCAGAAACTGCTTACTCAACCTTTAAACAACTTCATACAACCATCCTAGAAACTGTGTGCAGCTTTAAAGTATTAAATATAATAAAAGCAAAGCTAAATGAAATAAATAATAAATAAATAATCTTCCTCTTTTTGAATGCTGTACTCCCAAAAACATCAGAAAAATACTGGAAGTGTGGAAGAGACAGAATAGTATTGATATTACAAGACATTACAATCAATTGTATACATTTCATATCCTCTTACTCTTAAATCCTCCAGTTCCAGAGGCCACTGGACAACTATGAAGCTACTTCACCCATCAAAGAGCCTCCTTTATTTGCTCCTAACCTTCGGTAACATGCAGATTTCTTTTTGTGTGTGTGTGAATTTATATATTGTGATGATTTTTCTTCATATTTCTTCATGAAAAAGCACTTTCAGAAAGGTAGATATGACACTTAAGTTAATTATAAAAATTAGCCAACTACGCTGAAGGTATTTAAGGGGCCAGTATCTTTTTAATACATCACTATCCTATTAGGTAAATAGTTTCCAATCTGAACAGTATTTATCTTGGTCAAAAACAAGGATCTAAACTAAATCTTATTAGTTAATACTAGTATGCTAGAATGCTAATTTGTTTTACAATCACATATGTTCTTCTAAAATCCTTTTTACTCTCTCTTTCCTGCTAGGACCCTTTCTAGGTGGGATGTTGATCCCTGTTGCAGTGAACATTGGGGATACTGCGATTTTCACTTGTAATGAGACATGTAATGGACATCTCTTATGGACATTCCACACTAACAATGAAAATCTGGAAGTTTTAAAATGTATCCAAGAGATTTGCACCAAAGGAGACAACTTTAAGAACAGAGTGAGCCTTAAGCCTGGAAACATGTCTCTAGGCCTGTATCCTGTTCTGTACAATGATGAAGGCTGGTACATGGTCAAATGTGATTCAGTGTTTTGCTGTGAATTCCACTTAGAAGCTCTTGGTAAGTTCTTATTTTTTAGTTAGCGATGACACATGATTATTTAATGGTAATGTTTATCACCCTAAATAAGGTGCTTACCACTGTTAGATGTGATCTAATGCGTTGTATTGTTTCCTTTCATTGTTTAGTACCAACTACTGTGAGCACCTCAGTCAGAAGCAACATCACACTACCCTGCTACGCACGCACAGAGAAACGAATTACTGATGACGCTGTGAACATCCTGTGGAAAAAAGATGGCCAAACGGTGTTACAAGTTCAAAAAGGAATTACAACATATGGCTCAGGTTTTACAGGCAGGGCATCAATTTCACTTCACCATTATAAGCACGGAGATCTTTCCCTTAACATGCTCAGGGTCACCACATCAGATAAGGGATTGTTCCGGTGCTATCACAGAACTACAGAAGAACAGGGTTATCCTGGTGCTGTCACTCTCAATGTTACAGGTTGTTAAATATTAAATTTTTTACACTTTCTTTTTTCTCCTGTAATAGAAAAAAAAAATGTTTAAATAAAACTGTGAAATTCTTTCTTCAGCTGATCAAAAGTTCTATGCAAAAAAGTTTGGTGGAAATCTCACCCTGGACCTGTTTGGCTCTGACCGTGTAAAGGTAACTTTCACCGGTCATGATGCAGATGAGACCCCTGTTTGCAGTGTGTTAGGGAACAACACTACATGCTCATCTGAGTACACGCACAGAGTGTCTGTCATAAATGACTTCCTCGTGCTGCGCGAGTTAACGTCCACTGATACAGGCACATTTACTGTGAAAAACAAGATGGATGAAGTCATTGGTGTCAACACTGTCACTGTGGAGGGTAAGTTTGAAATCAAACTAATTTCATTTTTTGTTGTTTAATTTGTTCTTTTCAGTTTAATAATTGGCTTTCGTTTGCATTCAGATCTAAGTCCCTTTCTTTGTCATGCACAGGTGTGACCCAGAGACATCACTACATAACTCTGCCTGTGCTAATTGATTTCATTCTCATTTGCCTGTTCCTTTGCTGCCAATATCATAGACAGTCGCAAGCACAGCAGTATCGCTGCAGTTATAATGCAATACAGTCTAATGTGAATATAAATCCAGAACCGATGAGAGAGCCTGCATGCATTGGATTGTCGCAACAAGAAACCAACCCAGAGCCTGACGTTCGTCCACACACACCTGTCGAGGAGACCATGCCTGAGCCTGTGAGGCCCACTGAGAAGCAAGACAACACTGAAGAGTATATTACTTGTGGAATAGGAATTGGAGAAACAGTATAGGAATACTTTTAAGAGAACTGAAAAACTGCTCAAATGTTCTTCCTCTGCTGTATTATATGCTATGAAAAAGATGGCATTAGATTTAATTGGATATTCTTTGAGCAACTGCATAACTGCCAGTGAACAATATGTGAAACTTGAAGAGAAATTAATTATATTTTTACTTCAGGAAGGCCTTATAGCTGCAGTCTTGTTGGTAAAATTTAGGAAAAAAATGTTTTGGCAAAAAAGATCAATTTTCCATCAATAGTGTAGCGATGTATGAAGCACAGCTCACACAGAAGTCACTTTCAATTCCAATTAGCCACAGAATGTAAAATTAATGTAAAATACTTTAATTACAAATCACATAATGGCCTTTTTCCTGATATGTTTACATTGCTGATAGGCATCTTAAATCATTAAGGTTGGGCTGCACAACTATTATTCTTGCCATAATGATAATGTCAGATGTGGCCACACTGTGCTGCTTCTTATTAAGCATTATTCAGCACTTTTTCATGATAAACTTTATTCTGCACTTTTTCTATTCTACTACTAAACTTGTGGTATAAGCTTTTTTTATTGAATTGGTTTTATTAAGTAAAAAAAATAAAGTAATACACACAATGTTTACAGTGTATCTGTGTATTCTATTAACGTTTATGATCAAAAGTCACATTATATGAATGTGTGACTATGACTAATCTATTAACAAATTCAAATCATGAAATTTACAGAAGATGAAAAGGTATATTACTGTTATGTCTTAATAGCTACTGTAATGGCTTTAGTAGTAACTGTTTTAGTTATTTTACCAGACTGAATGTCAGAATATAATTATATTATACATTAATATTTATATCATACTATACTATTAATTTAAAGAGTTTTCCTTTTATATATGTGTATGTATGTATATATATATTATATATATTGAGTTATTTACTGTGACTTTTCAGTGTTCCTAATGATTTTTGTTCTTTATAAAATTGGAAAAAATATAACAAAATCAGATATTGTACAGTTGCGATCTCTTTTAATTCCAATAACCAACAAATGTACACAAATGACATAAAAACAAGAATCCAGTATAAGCGTGATGTCATGACCAAAAATATGGAAATCAAACTATTTTAGGTTCCAAGTAATAAAAATCTGACAAATAACATGGTTTTACAGCATTGATTATACAAAATATATATTTTGTTTAAAATCCTCAAAAGCTAAAATCACCCAGGATTTGACCACTTTTGTGGCATCATGGCAGGGCTGGCATTTGTTGACTACATGACAATCCCCCATCAGGGATTGTAGGTGGGGGGAGTGAATGTACAGCGCTCTCTCCCACCTTCAATACCACGACTGAGGTGCCCTTGAGCAAGGCACCGAACCCCCAACTGCTCCCCGGGCGCCGCAGCAAAAAAATGGCTGCCCACTGCTCCGGGTGTGTGTTCACGGTATGTGTGTGTGTTCACTGCTGTGTGTGTGCACTTTGGATGGGATAAATGCAGAGCACTAATTCCGAGTATGGGTCACCATACTTGGCCACATGTCACTTCACAAATGATCTAAGAGCTAAGAAATTCAAACCAGGAGATTATGACACAAACCATGTTTTCATATGTCATGAGTAAAACTATATCTGGGACCGCATCTCTGTTTTCATGTGTCTGTGCAGGCTACAGTGAACACGATACCTTGTGCGTACATCTGTGTATGTTTAGTCACTCTGAGAACTCCAGAATCCTTAAAAACTCAAATGACCACAAATTCTGCCAAAAGATATCCTTGTGGTAAACTTGAAAATATCTGAATAGCATAACCATAATGTAACTAAAGCTTCCTAATATCCTGCTGATAAACACAGCTGGATTAGTGTTGAACTCTAATTGGCTGAACTAGATCGTTCAGCTCAATAAAAGGCTTTAGAGATCTATACTGTACTGTACATGGCAAAGCAAATCACTACTGGAGTGATAAACAGGTGAGTGCCAGAAACATTGTTGCTATTGAGACATAAGAAAACAAATCTAATGAAAGAATGCCATGGAAAAATTGGTTTATATTTATGCAGCATGATTGTGTCAGTATCAAATTCAGACTTGATTTTGAATAGACTTGAATTTAAAATATGCTGTTTTTCAGATTGCAAGATGAAGAACTTTGTTATGACCAATATGGTGCTGATGTGAGTACATTGATTTCATTTACTTTATATATTTTGGTCAATCATGATTCATCAGTTCATTTACACATGCTTTGATCACTTTGATACTTCTCTTTTAGATCACCTCAGCTAAGGTAAGACCATTCATATCATCATCATTCGACCATTTTTAGAAGCTGCGTCTGATCAATGGTCTGGTTACTGGTGTAAATGGAGTTAACCCTCTGTTGGTGGGTGGTCTGAACACACCTGTGCTTTCTGGTGGTCCTGCTGTTATAGGACAGCCTCCATTAGCACAGGTAGGAACTGAAGATTTACCACTTAAAGGAAAAGTACCCCCAAATATGAAAATATGCTGAAAATCTACTCAGACCATCCAAGATGTTAATGAGTTTGTTTCTTTTTTAATCTGAACTGATTTGGAGAAATTTAACATTACATCACTTGCTCTGCAGTGAATGGGTGCTGTCAGAATGAGAGTCCAAACAGCTGATCAAAACATCACAATAATCCACAAGTGATCCACACGACTCCAGCCCATCAATTAATGCCTTGTAAAGTGAAAAGCTACGTGTTTATAAGAAACAAATCTGTTGTTATAGCATTTTAACTTTAAAACATCACTTCTGGCCAAAATACGAGTCCATAATGATCCATAATAACACTTCCTCCAGTGAAAATGTCCATCCCCTGTTGTGGTCTCACATCAAAATCCACCGGCATATTTGTTTTGATTTGTTCTGGATTTTCTTTTTTTACTTGTAAATGATGTTTGATCTGTGCATATTTCTCTCCGAAATTAAGATGAGTTTACTTTTTCAATGGAGAAAGCAGTTTTATGGATAGTGGATTTTAGCTATGGTTTGAAGTTAAAAACATCTTGATGGATTTATTTATTACAAACACAGCTGGAGTCTGTACTGGAGTCATGTGGATTGCTTGTGGATTATTGTGATGTTTTTATCAGCGGTTTGAACCCTAACTTTCACTTTAGCAAGTGAAGTAATGTTATTTTCTCCAAATCTATTCTGATGAAGTGACAAATTTATCTACAGTACATCTTGGATGGCCTGAGGGTGAGTAAATGTTCAGCAAATTTAAATTTTTTTGGGTGAACTATTGTCCCACTAAAAGATAATGTTTTACACAGACAATAACAAACTCGTTTGTGTCTGACAGATTCTGCCTGCTGCTGTTCTTCCTCCATTTGTGCTTCAGCACCCACCTGTGGCCGCAGTTCCCTATGGTCCCCCCAACATTGGACCTCAGCTGGCTTACCCTTTCGCTTCAACTAATGGGGTATTTGTTCATTTTTATTCACAATGTTTGTGCAACAATATGCATTTAATTCTGTCTAAATTAATGTAATTTGGGGTGTTGTTGTGGACTGTTCTGATCAACAGGGTTTGCCGTATTACATTGGTGGGCCCCAGAATCAACCAGCCATAATGCCTCCGCAGCAACAAGTTGCGGTACAAAACAAGTTGCTAGTACTATTCTAATACTATAAATTATATGTATGGGCTATAAATATATTCATGAAACTCATTCATAATACTTTTAGGCTGGACAAGGCCCTACTGGAAATAATCAAGCTGTACCATCAGGCTCACTAACTAGATTTAAGGTACATTTGAAGAAGCAATTACTGGCAAAACCATTGTTTTATAAGGCCAATTTTGGCCACTGATTCAAAATCTCCTCTGTAAAAACCTTTAACTTTATCCTATTCACATGTAGTATGCTTAAAACTACTAATAACTAACTGGTTATTATCTATTCAGTTCATATGATTTCTGATATGTAAGTTTGTAGAAAAAAGTGTACTGTAACTTCATTGTTTAGCAATATGCAGTGTTTGTGCAACGTTCAAAAGACAGAATTCTTGCCCTCCACATAACTGTGTTAAATCATTCTTCTCAGCGCTCCTTCCTCAGAAGGACCACTGCAAGACCACCTGTCTCAATCACCCAGGTTTGTAGAAAAAAATATTTTGTATTTTTCAAAAATCTATTGAGTGGTAGCCTGCATTATAATATGATTTATCATCTATACAGATGCCAGCCCAGGTCAACCCTGCAGTGTCTGGAAATCCTGTTGGGTAAATTTGAGTGAAGCATGTGTTGAAATAGCTTAGGTGTGTTTTATACATGTGTTGACACAGTTACACATTGTTTTTATTGTACAATAATTAATACTCTTGCTGAGAAGCTGATTGAGTTTGTTTCTTTTCACAGATACTTTCAAGAGATCTTCTCTTCTCTGCAATAAATGTAATTTTTTATTTAGGATATTACAGAATTATTGATAAGTATAATGTACTTTAGTAAAATGTCTAATGCTTTGCTTTATACTGACAAATTGTCAACAGTTGTAACAAATGTTTATACTGAATATTGAATAAAAGTCGCTAGTTTGTTGCAACAGTGAATATTTTCACCCTCTTAATCATATGATAATATTATGGCCACACTTGAAAGGTTGTTTATTGTGTTATATTGCCATCTACTGGCAACAGTGTTCATGAAGTTACTGCGGAACATTTTTAAAAAGAAAGAAAGAAATAGCAATTCCACTGTAAGTATTTATTTTATCTTTTGAAATGTATTAATATAATAATACAATTAATACTATCATGATAATCATCATCATCCACATTATCACTGTTTTAAAAAGATCAATTTAATCTATTTGTTTTTCTATTCCCTGTCCCTAATTTGTCTCAGTACCTCACTCATCTCTCTATTAAGGCTACACTGTAAAAAAATTCCGTAAATCTTTCAGTAAAAAAAACGGCAGCTGTGGTTGCCGGAATTTTACCGTAAAAAATACAGTAGCAACATTTTAGGTTTTACGGTTTTAACTTAAATTTACAGTTAAATACCATAATTGCATTAACTGATATAATGTTAATATACCAACCTATTGAAGTAGCTTACTGAAATCTGGTTTGTACCTTTGTAATACATTGATAACCACCAAATACAGGTGGTGATGAGAAAGTCACATGATGAACCAAAGCCCATCACAAGCAGCTTTTACATAATAGCATATATAGAAGGTGCACAGTGTCATTCACACAAACACTAAACACCATCATGGTAACACACATGAAACTGAAATAATGCAATAAACATTCATTTAACAACATTAGGTGTAACACGCAACCCTAATATGCAAAACTGATAAGAAAAAACTAATAAGAATCAGTTATTTAACAAAAAAACATCAAATTTGAAATGTAACGCAGGGAATTCTGGGAATGTCAATTTACGCTATTACTGTAAATTTACATTATTCACTGTAAATTATACTGTCTTTTTCACTTCCAAAAACGGTATACTACCGTAAAATTACATGTAATGTCCAATACCGTTTTTCACCGTATATAGTAGGGGAATTTACCATTAACCATTTAACAGGTTTTTACTGTAGCATTTTTACAGTCTTTTACCATTAAATTCATGGTCATTTTTTACAGTGTATGCATTATTTTGCAGTCAGTCTCTGACAAAGCTCATTTCTGATGTGTCCACTGGTTCACATAGACTTCTATTTAAAGAAATCCATAAGAATTATTATGATTCACACTATGTCGAAACTATGGTTGCTACAGAAAAGATTGTATTAGCCTACCACATAATGGCATCAGGACAGAAAAAGTCGCAAATCATCAAAAGTTACACAGACATAGACATAAAATAATATTTGTTCATAATATACCATTTAAACGTAGGTCAATAAGATTTTGTTTAGAGAGAGAGAGATAGATAGATAGATAGATAGATACTTTCTTTTATTAAAATACTTTTAATAAATACTATTATTCTGCATTATGCAGAATACATTAAAGCAACCAAAGGTGGTTTTTAAAATTCTGTTCTTCTGAACATTATAGCTAAAAAAAAAAAAATCATACAATTGGAGTAATGGCTGCTGAAAATTAAGCTTTTAAAATATAAAATATAAAAAATATTTTATATTGTAATAATAAATCACAATATTACTGTTTTACTGCATTTTTTTATCAAATAAAGCCTTGGCGAGCCTTGATGATCATAAGAGACTCCAAAAAATTGTACAGACCCCAAACGGTAAAGTGTGTGATTCAGCACAGGTATTTTAAGTAGAGTGCAAATGTTATATGTCACAACTACTGTGCTTATCAAGGGCAGGATATAAACAGTTTTGAGGTTGACAAGTTTGTAATGCAAATAAATAATTTCTGATGCCTCAAAAACAATCAATCAACAAACAACCCCCCCCAGGGTACAGACAGACCTTGTTAATTATAAAATAAAATAAAATAAAATAAAATAAATATATAGAGTTTTGCTGTGTACAGCTACATGAAATAGGGTTACATGATTAAACATGTTGGTTATTTATTATAACCAAACCTACACAGGCTATTTCTAAAATTGAAAGTATAGTCTAAAAATATATATATTAAATAGTCAGAATTTTGCAGATTGATTTTTAATGCCATCTACTGGACTCCTAAGGTTCTTGCACATTTTAGAAATAAGAAAGTTCACTACAGCTGAGGAAATAAACCATTTTAGTCTGGTTCTTCTGTCTGGAATACTCAGCCCCTGAACCATGTAATCACTACGTGGAGATGACCACACTAATTGCCATAATTATTGTTTTGAAGAGAATGGTTAAATCTTGTTTTTTCATTCTCAGCCAGACAATAATTTGTCTCCTTACCTCACAGAACAAACAGCTCTTCATTTGGCCTGCGTATTAGTCTGTGAGTCTGTGAGAAAGCTCAGTTCTGATCTAAAGCACTGGTGCATGTGCTCTATATCTGTTAAGCATTAAATGTTTTTAATGCATACGTCTTCAACCCTGCTCCTGGGGACCCACTGTCCTGCAGAGTTCAGCTCCAACCCTAATCAAACACACCTGAACCAGCTAATCAAGGTCTTCAGGATCACTTGAAAAGTCAGAGGCCAGGTGTGCTGAAGCAGGTTGGAAATAATCTTTGCAGGACAGTGGGTCCCCAGGAGCAGGGCTGAAGACCTATGTTTTAACGACTTAATAATAATGATAATTAATCAAAACACAAATACTGTGCATATACAGACATACTCAAACCCAGACAATAAATTGATGGAAACAATTAGCAGCTCAGTTGACCATAATGATACATGTCTATATATGATGGGGTATAGACAAATTGAGGCACATGACACACCGTATGTGTCACAGCTACAGCAACCTGATATTATAAGAGGACATGCAGCAGTTTAAAAGCAAAGGGGAAAAGAAGCTAATAGTTTGCACTTCTGCTCTGCCTTGAATGTACTTATTTTTCTTTAATATTCTGCATTTATTGTCTGTTATTGATGTATTGCATTTATTGATTATTATTAGTATATATAGACAGCACCAGTAAGGAGTCTTTCAAAAATGTATCTAAATATTTTATTTCTAAGGACTGTGTCGCAATGATTTTAGACTTTAGTATATGTTCATTTTCATTGATTTTTCTTTTTTTATCCACAGATAACCAAGATGAAGTTTCAGGCCATCTTTTCCATGGCTGGTCTTCTCAGCATTTGCACTTGTGCTCCTGTAAGTGTCCAATGATAAATGCATGTCTTCATCTGGAATCGATAGTAACAAATCTGTTTGTGTTTCTCAGATCTACCAGCCACAAATTGGAATAATGGCAAGTAACAGTAATGAGGTATGTTTCTTGTGCATTTTGTCATGAATTTTATTCTAAATATTATATATTAAATTATACCATTTAAAAGTTTAGGGTCAATAAGATGTTTTAAAAGTTTCTTTTGCTCACCAAGACTGCATTTATTTGATCAAAAACAAAGTAAAAGCAGTAATACTGCAAAATATTATTACAAATTAAAATAATGCTTTTCTATTTTAATACTTCAATATATAATTTAAGGCTGTGGCAAAGCTGAATTTTCAGCATCATTACTCCAGTCTTCAGTGTCACACGATCCTTCAGAAATCATTCTATTATGCTGATTTGCTGACTTTTTTGGGATTAATTGATTAATAGAAAGTTTAAAAGAAATATTTTGATTAATTGTAAATGTCTTTACTGTCAAAAAATATGGTGTATAAATACATATATTAAATTACTAATCCCAAACTTTTGAATGGTAGTGTACATTTTTGTTTTCTGTTATGCTCATGTCTCTTTTTCCTTCTTTGTAGGTTTTGCGTCTCAATGGACTCACTCTGGCAGGTGTGGGTTTGGGTCCAGCACAGGTAATTCAGCATCCAGTCATGTAAAAAAAACTAATATGAAGATAGCTTGAACATTTGAGGGTAAAATCTGCCATAACGTAATTGCCTTGTATATGACAGAGATATATAATTTCTTAACCTGAAACAAGGAATTAACTGTTATCTTAATATGGTGTTCTGTTGGTATGGTATGATGCTCATAAAGGGCTCATTTAAATCTTTGCTTTCTTTCTCCTTAGGGAACTGCATTTTTCCCTCCCTTCCTAATTCGGCAGCAGCCCCCACAGGTGCTAAACTTCAACCCTGCGATGCAGGGACCCTTCCTGCCCCCTCAAATAAACCAGCTGAACCCAGCACAGTTGCCCCCATTGCTGCAGGAGCAGCCTATACCTGGCATTGGTCCCAACAATGGCTTACCAACACAGAACCTTCCCCCGGTACAGACAGACAGGGAACATCGTGCACTCATGGATTTTTTGCTCCTTTTTTTTGTTCCACAAGTTTTTTTAAATTATTCTCACAAATTTTGTCTGGAGAGTAAAAAAAGTCATGTTTGTTTTTAGGGATTTCCATTCTTCCTGACTAATCTATATCCTCTGAGGAACACTCCTGTAAGGCTGATACCCAACCAGAACACTGGCCCAAGTATTCAAGGCTGGGACACAATGCAACCAATGCAGCCAGTGCAACCAATGCAACCAATGCAACCAATGCAGCCAGTGCAACCAATGCAACCAATGCAACCAATGCAGCCAGTGCAACCAATGCAACCAATGCAACCAATACAACCAATCCAGGTATTGTAAAACCATTTTTCCTCACATTTTCTTCTCCTTTCAATTGATTGACTAGGCAAAAATGTGATTTTTACAAAGAA